CCTCTTGGGATTCTCGTGGCTCCTTCCGAAGCTAGCAATTGACTGGATATGGAAAAAGACTAGGTCGGAAAGCAGTGCACAGAGCAAGGCCTGCTGTGGAAGAAGTGGACTTTGAACGGAGTAGCAAAAGATCGTGATGAGATTGGGGGAAAAAAGCTCATTCGGGAGCCGCTTTGCTCTGAAATGTGTTGAGAATATCGTCAATATAGTGGACTTAGGGGTGGTCGATGACTGAATCCATTAGTTGTTGTGAACGGAAGGCTCGTTCGGAGCAGGCCCCGGTACGAGATAATGACAGGATAGGGGTTAGTAGACAAGGCAGACATGCTCAGTGAAGAAGGCCTCCAAGGACACGGATCGAGCCTTCTCCAATTTGATGGACTGTCTAGGTACCGTCAAGACCGCCTTCCTTCAAATTCGTTCTTGACCCTGGCGAGGTAATTGCTACGCTCCTTTCCCCCCTATATGAACCGTTTAAGTAGATACTGGAAGCTCTATTTCGGGACACGATCCCCTTTTGCTGGTTGCCTACCGTATGTATCAACATCAAAATCGGTAGACTGCTGTCACTCATTCATCGGACGTACCTCAGGAACGATGATGACGGAACCTGCACTTGAACTTACAACACGTCGCGAAACAAACCTCATTCTATCGAGGGATAAAGATCATGCCGATGCAGAACGCCTGCAACATGAATTCATTCCGCGCCATGCCTAGACCTTTGAACAAGAAGCATACAAGCCCTCAAATACCCTCCAAATGTTCTCGCATCAAATTAACCCCGATACCTGATCCTTGGCCAAAATATGAGACGCATCAGGCTCATCGCTTCAAAGCTTGAAATCTCCTCTCCAGCTCCGTAATGTCGGGTACGTTGCCTCCTGGCCCCTTTCCAGCTGGCTTCTTCTGCGCCGCTGCGTCCATCTTTTTGTTAGGCTTCAGCTCCAGTGAGTTGAGCGTTACTTTGGGATGGACGTTATCTGTTGTCATCCTCGGCGGTGTGACAGTCAAAGGGCTACTGGGACCTCCAATCGTTCTCGGCGGTGTCGCCTTGCTCAGCTCCTCCTGTTCCTTGGCCACTTTGGAGCTGTTTCCCAACGGACCCTCCGGTATCCTCACGCCAATCCCACCACTTGGGCTATCGTCGTCGTCATCGTCCAGAAGGTCCGGCGGCTCGTCTGCCAGAGGTCGCTTCGGCCAGTCCACATTGTACGCCTTGGCAATTTCCTCCAAGTACCCTTGTACGAGCTCTTCCCGCGGCGGTGTGACGCTCAGCTTCTTGACAACCTTGTCCGACACCTTGCCATCTGAGTTATCCATCGCCGCAAGAACAAACTCCTTGCCGTACTTCTCCGCCAATAGCGTTCGCACCACCTGCAGCTCCTTGATCTCCGTCTTCGGCGCGGCGTAGATGATGCTTTTGACCGCCTCCTCCAATCCCGGATCACAGACTGAACCCTCGAGTAGCCCCGCGCGGGCGATCAGTAGTTCGCAGTACAGCTCTAGTATCTCGTGTAGCTCGGTCGTGATGTCGGATCGGATGATATTCTCGACGCGAATGCGCGCAGAGTCGATTTTGCCCACCTCGAGGAGCTGCGCCATCGCGCGTCTTTGTGTCTTGCCCATGGAGTCATCGCGCTGCTGGACCATGCGTAGCCGTGCGATGGCCAGCTTGAGCTGGACCTTGAGCTTCGTCTATTGGAGATGGGAATGGCGCGGTTAGCAAAGCCATGTCGTCATAAGTGTCAGCGGGGCATGTCAAGGATGCGCGACTCACAACGACTGATGGCTGAGGAGGCATCTTGGTGAATTTTCTGTTGAGATTTGAGAGAGGGAAATGCCACAAGGCTCGAGTCAAATGGGACAGATTCCACCTCAAATATGGAGAGTTAACTAGAGTAATAAGACACAAGGCAACAGAATTGAAGCAGGAGAGTGGGCAAGTCCGGAAGGGGTCAGTCTGCCTTATCTAATCGGCACAGGTTGGTGGGATGGCTGGAGCTTGCGCCTCACTGCGGGGTACTTGTTCGTGCCCAAGTGGGAGGGACCAGGGGGTGTTCGAAAGCGGGTGGATCTACTCCGTAGTAAGGGCCATATATACCTAGGCCCAGAGTCACTGCGCAAGGTAACTTACACCTGACGTATAAACCAGTCCTCGCTACTTTTGTATCTCATCAAACTAGGTCCAATTGCTCGCTGTGAACACTTCATGGAAAATGTGATCGCGATTTCTTGCCAAGGCCACAGGTCACAGAGCAGTTGCTGAGCGGGAGAAGAACTGCACTCGTCAAATGGGTGTCTTCGTCGAGCTATCAAGGTGACTATTCATCTGACGTAAACCTTGCCTGTAACGCCAACAAGAAATATCAAAATAAGGGGAAAACAAAACGCCAAGTCCACCTGTCCACCCGTGGGTATCTTTGCATTGTTCCAAAGGAGAAGTTAGGGTGAAGTCGACACAACCGTTGAAAGAAGGCATGGAACCAGCAGCCGGCATGCGATCGAGGAAAGTGTTTCAGAACTAGAAGAAGATTAGCGGGAATACTCTGCTTAATTGAGAGTAAACGTACAATATTGAGCGCGGTGTGCTGTGGAAGCCTGGTTCCGTTGAGCATGGCTCGAGTTTTCTTGGGTCGCTGCTGAAGGCGCCTGAAGGCTTCCTGAACGTGACGAGGCTCAATGGGACTTCTTCCCTCGCTCGGCGGGTCGAACAGGCCGGTGGCCACCTTGCGCTTCTTTGATCCTGCATTTTCACCGCCGCTCTGTGCCTTGAATAGATCCTCTTGCTCCTTGACCTTGAGCGCGTGCTCAGTCAGGGTCTGGACCATCTCGAAGGTCAAGAAACCCAAGATATCAACGATATCGTCAGAAGGTTTGCTGTCTGTGACAATACCAAATCCAGCCCATTCTCGAAATCTTTTGCCCTTGCGGTACGTAAACGAAGCTTGACGGTATTCGGACCATGTCACATACTCCTCCTTCGTCATGGCTTTTGTGCGCTCGTCGGCCTTGCGAAGACGTTGAAGGGTAATGAAGTTCATCTCCTCCTCTTCTTCATCCTCCTCGTCGTCACGCTCAGGGACTTCCTGGCTGTAGAATGAGGACGGTTCCCAGGGCAGGCCGACCTTGGCCTTTTTGTTCTTCTTAGTAGCGTCGTCGACCGGGCCACCAGGGACCACGCCACCGCTGGGATCTTCACCAGCTCCCAGGTCCGCTTCACCTCCCTTGTCGTCGGAATCCTTGACGTTCTTCCGGACATCTTTCCATGAGAGGAACGTACGCAGACGAGAAACTTTAGCTTGATCGTGGCGGATTTGGAAGATCAGGTCATTAATCGTGATGGCTCGGGCGCCGCGGCGAGCCGCAAGCTCAGTGCAGTTTCGAAGCTAGCGAGTTATTAGCAATGTAGAGACATATGACGCTTGCACAACTTACCAGCTCAATAACTTGCTGGCGCACAATGTCCTCAATCATGCTAGTCGTCTCAATCGACGGTTCGGTGGTCTCGCCAGATACGTACATCATCTTGCGCGCAACATTAGTAAGACGGTCTGACCAGCCATACGGCCCCTGGTTATTCAAACGCTGAGGCAAAACGAAAGCAGGCTTGTTTGGCGCTGGACGCGTGACCCTTTGCTTCTTCTCTTCTCCATACGGGAGATCAAGGATGGACTTAAAGCCGGAGTTGACCACGATGCCACGAACTTGGTCGAAGGCGGATTGAAACAGCTCCATGCTCTGGCGCTGGACACGCGCAGCGACCGCCGCCTTTGCTCTAGAGCGCCTGGGGTATTTCGGTTTCTTCGTAATAGTCTCAGACTCGGCGCTGCTATCATCGGCCAGCGGTTTGGTGCATTGTTCAAATATGCCGAGAGTCATTTCAAGGCATCCGACGAGTTGGCTCATGAGGCAGCCGCCTCCATCTCGATCGAAGTGAGATCTCCATCTCACAAACGATTGCTCCTCCCTGCTCCTCATTGGCGTAGATGTCTCTCTTGGGCCGAGTAGAGTGTTTTCGAAGTAGCTTTTTTGATACCAGTGATGGAGGTGAAGATGATATCTAGCCATACGCTAGGTATAGTGGATGGCAGGTACCACCTCGAGAAGATAGGAGGCGCTCATATTTGGAAAGAGCAGAGGCTGTCGTATAGGCCAGTCGAGCATCCAAGCGTGAGGGCTCGCGTGTCGAGACGGGCTGTGGCCAACTCCAGGAGGCAGGTGTCAAATCCTTGTTTCCCTCCACTGGACTTCCAGTTTTGAGGTCGCTAGCTGCCGTGTGCCTGTGGCTCCTCCAGAATGGCAAAGCAGGACGAGATCAAAAGAAACAAAATCCACAGTATCTTCACTCACCTGGCTGATCTCCTGGCGATACTTGAACGCCTTGTCATCCTTTGAAGCCATCTTGCCGGTGTTCAAAGGCGAGCCTCAAGATTAATGTGAATAGCTTGGGTGAACCGAATGTTATGTGTTCTTTTGAATAAGGTACAGGATGGAAGCTGATGCGGGTATGGGAGGCTGAGATGCCCCGGAGAGAAATCCCGATAATCGCACTGTTGCCGAGCGAAGTAGATCAAGGCTAGAGATAACTCCTGTGCGAAGGCTGTAATTGCTGCTTTCTATTAAAGTCCGTATGAATACCAGAATTCCATTACTTGGTTGAAAGAGATCTATGGATTGTCGATGAAATTCGGTAAGAAGGGTAGTCGGAGAGCGAAGGCTGGAGGTGTCTTGGTCGCGGTCCGGCTCAGCGACACCAGTTGGGCGTGTTGGGTGCACTGACCAGCCTACCTTACTACTGTCCAATGCAAGCAGGGGCCAGAGGTTCCGAGGTGCCTTCTAGGTTCCTTTCCGCTGGAATCCCGTCGGAAAAGATAACACCCGAACAGCGAGTTGCGTTTCGTACAGCCATTACGTAAGGTAAGGTACTCATTCCAAGCAATGGCCCCAAGCAATCAACATGATGGTGCTGCAACATCCAGACCAACATTGAGGATATTTCACACCCATTCTATCAAAGCAAGCTTCGCCCAAATTTTGCTGCCGAGTTCTCCCTGTAATCTGTCTATCCACATGACGCCCTGCAACCGAGATCGTGCGCTTACCCACGACAAGCGCTCTACTCCTGATTTCAACCACAGAGGCCGCAACCAAGCCTCCTCGGCCTCGAAGACTGAGATCGCGCACACCATCAAAAGCCAGAACAGGATGTTCTCATCTCCAATTGTTTTATTGGCGGTAGTATCGCATAAGTTTCTGAGACTCTCAGTGAGATAGTTATAAGGAAACTGGCCGCCTGGGATTTGCAATGTGGTTGACAGAAAGGCCAACATCCCAAGCCGAAGGCATTCATCTGAACGGTCATCGATTTCGTTCTGCAGATTTACGAGTCGTATTTGGATCGACCCCAAGGAGTCTTGGAAAAGCGAGCCGTCAAGCAGCGAATTCCAGGCGAGGTGATCGTTGATCAGATTCACCAAGTGTCTGAGGTCTTGCCATACCACAGCCAGCCTCCAGTCACTCACAACATTGCAAGAGAAGGGCCCAGCCTCGCAAGTTGGGGTCCCCGACTGCGCATCAAAGTATGACTTCCAGCTGATAGGGCCAGTGAAGAAATAAGGCGTACCCCCCGTGCCAAGAGACCATGAGAGAGCCAGGCTGTGTTGTCAGAGCCGACCCCAATTTGCAGATGACATGCACTCACCGATCGAGCTTAAAATGTAGCTTCGGATGACTTCGAAGATACTTGAGCCCTCCACGAAGTCGCACGATCTGCTGTAAGCCTGATAGGTGTACGGCTGTGGTGCTGAAGTCACCCCAAAGACCTGCCATTAAGGCTAGAGTGAGTATGACGTGGAAGATTGCCTCGTTACGATGTGAGTCTGGCTGAGAAAGCGCCTCATTGAGGAGTTTGATTGTGCGTCTGAGATGAAATTGTGTCGTTCTTCCTGGCTGACGGCGCTGGACATGTTCATGTACGGCGGATGAGTAGAATAAGGCGCTGTGTAGGAAGATTTTGTCCTGGAGAATCCAAGAAAATGAGAGTGCTTCAGAATTCGCGCTGCGAGGGAGGTCGACGCAGTGCTCAATGGGATAGAAGGTGCCCTTAAGAGCATTGAAGTTGACCACTGACCCCAGTCAGATGAAGTGAGATTTGCGGCATCCAAGGGGCATGTCTTACATCTGAAGAGTATTTCCTGAGATGGCCTTTCCAACTCTTCTGCGAAGCGAATCAGAGACATGTCGCTGGGTGGCGGATGAGGGACCGGAGGCATCAAAGCCGAGGTATCATCTTGAGCGACCTCTCCTGTGCTCGGAGCCTGAGAATGTTCTTCAGCTTGCTGCTTCTCATTATACGCGGTGCAAGGCCAAGGCTTGATAGGGGAAGCCGAATGATGAAGCGACTGGAGCCCGGCATTCTCGCTCGCAGTTTGAGCGGCTGCCCTCTGCACTTTACGAGCAGCTTGTTTGGATCGCCGCGAGCCTTCTTGTCGATTCTTACCGATCATACATCGACTACGAATTACTGATCGGTCTGTGGGCTGTGTCCGTCCCGAACTGCCGACAGTTACGAACGCGAAGTCAGCCGGCATTGCGGTAGTGAAGATGTATGGAACTGCAGCTTCTGGAAAGTATGATTGCAATAATGTTCTAAGCAACTAAATGAGTCGATTCGAGCTATGATAAATGATAAACAACATGAGTATAAGATGAATGAAGGAAACGCTTTGAAAGCAGAAGGCCGTGACCACACAAGCCGCCCCATTTGGTACCATCACACGGAGGAGCTCCGGAGTTAAGACCCCACCCCATCTGACCACATTGTTGTCCGGTTCGGGCAAGCGTCTTATCCTCGCCGGGTACTTCGCCCATGTCTCCTGCAGCCCTAAGGCCTCCGGCATCTTTCCCATTCGTCGTCGCCTCGAAGATCGCTGCGTGAGACTAGAAGAAGGAGATGACCCGGCCAACCTCCAGTCCTCCCTGAAATTAGACAGTCTTCCACACTAGTTCGAATTGCCTTCTCTAGGTGGCGGACCGGTAAAGACCTGCTGCGGTCTCCATAACATGGGACCCTTTTCGAGCATCGCCTCACGCCAGTGCGCCAACACCCCAGGCATGCGTGACAAGCTTGCCATGGCCACGATGATGTCGGTTTCGAAGCCAAAGGCAGTGTACAGGAAACACCCGTAAAGGTCTGCATTAGCCTTCAAGTTACGGCTCGTAAAGTACTTGTCGGCATTGGCTACGCGGTCAATCTCCATCGCGATGGAAAGCAAAGGATTCGACTCCACTCTGTCCTTGTACTGGTCGATCATGGCGCGGATGAACTTGGCTCGGGGGTCCACGGCCTTGTAGATGCGATGACCGTACCCGAAGAGACGCTGCTTCTTGGCCTTGACGTCCGCTATCAGCAACGGCACGTTTTCCGGGGTCTTGAGATCCTCAAAGGCCTTGTAGGCTAGTTCGATGGCGCCTCCGTGGAGCGGGCCATACCCGGACACAAGACCAGAGATACAGCACGCAAGGGGATCTGTCAGGGTCGAGGCAGCGTGTAAGAAGGCGGCGGTCGAGTTGGTCATTTCATGGTCAGCGTAGAGGATCCAGAGCTTCTCGAAGCATTTGACAATCTCCTGATTAGGCTTGTTACTGTGTTTGTCTTCATGGAAGCCCATCATGCGCAACATGTTGGCGATGAAAGACTCTTCGGGACCGGCAGGGGTGAAGGTCTTGTTGCGCTTGCGGCAGTATACAAGGGCAACAACGGTGGCGAGAGCAGAGATGCAGCCGATGAGAGCTTCATCGACCTTGTCAGCTTGGCCCATGAACGCTGGTCGTCCGGACTGGAGTGTGGTAATGGCACCTTCGTCATGGCTAGCATAGGCGGCCATGCCAGCAAAGACCATTGTGCTCGTCAAGGAATCTCGAGGGAAAGACTCAATGACTTCGATAACGTGAGGAGGGGGGATGCAGCCGGCAGCAATCTTACGCCGGAAGATATTCTTCTCAACCGCGTCAGGGAGATGACCCCAGATCAGGAGAAAGACAACCTCCTCATAGTCGTGGTTCTCAAAGAGGTATTCAATTGAGTAGCCGCGGTAATGGATAGATCCATGTCCGCCATCGATATAGGTAATGTTCGACTCGACGCAGGCGGTATTCAGGTACCCAGGATCCAGGATTTTTAAACCGCAATAACTGACGGAGTTGACATCAGCCTGGACGGAAATGATCTTTTGAAGTTCGAGTGCTTTGATTGCGTTTCGGTTGATTGGGATTTCGTACCGCCGCTGGGTGCGGTTGTCACAAACTGTCAAAGTCCCACTCGATGGATCGGCCTTAGTCCCGAAGAGTAGGCTGCGTGCAAGCTGTGTCGGCAGCATCAATGTCTGGCCGAGTTTGCTGAAAGGTTGAGTTACATAGGAAGCGGTAGCGGCACCGATGTTGTAAGCCGTGCTCCAGAATGAGTTTCTTAAACGCAGGTATCCTGGATGAAGCTTCTGAGCTTCATCACTCTTAAGGATTTTCTTGATAGTAAGGCTTTCTTGAGTCGAAGTTCGTTTGATCGACTTCCGGAAGTCTTTTGCGGTGTTCATTGAGTTGTCTTTGGATTGGACAACTGCCTGAGTAGTGTAATTGGTGTCCATGGTGTCGAAGTTTGTTGAAATATAGCTAATGAAGATACTTCTTCTCTCTATTTCCAACTTCAGACGAGCACCTCTATCACTCTTAAATATCCAGAAACCTCATCCCGCGTGTCACCAGATCGTATCAGTTTATGACTGGGCGGCAAGGGATACAGCTGACACGGGGAAACATCCAGGACTCCAGCACAACGTGTCAAAGCAAGTGAATCATTTCTTTCGCCCGAGCAACTAGAAAAGAAGCCGCGATAGGAAACATCTTGCATTCCGAGAATTACAGAAGGCAGCAATAGACCCCAATGGGGGCTCCATCTCGCCCGGTCATCGAAGTCTTCACGCCGACGCCGAAAGCTCTCAGCGTAATTGCGGAAACGCTTATTACCGCAATCGCGTGATGTCGAGGTGCTGACCCTCTGGGCTGAGCGTATGTGGTGAAGTGGAACAATCTGGGGGCCGTGAAATCCGTCGACCCCAGTGAGTTATCGTGAGCATGGCCTCTGAAGCCCAAAGTTGCGCAGCTGCCAATGTAAGGCTTACATTTCCACCTACACTCTCTCCGTCTAGGCAGTGTCATCAGCTCCGAGTCATCAGAGCAGAGCCTCGTAAAGAGTTCAGGACTCTTGTTTCGGTATTGGGTACACCGAAAAGACCCGTAAATTACTTCTGAATTCAGATTGGCGGTGCCTGATTCCGATCACGCAGGCACACCAGGCTGCGATGTGTCTACGCCGTTCTCGCACATTAAGGCTGAGTGCGGCGCGGGGCCTTGGCCCGGGCCGGAAATAAATACTCGAGTCGCGGAAATACAATTGATTGTCTTAAGTAAGGTTGCTCTCGAGTTTCCTTAGTACTCAATTTTTCCTTCACATGACGAAAGGTCGGAGGTGTACGGAGTAGTTCGGTGAAGATAAACTTGCGGCTGAAAACGCCTAATCCGGACACCTTTTTCACTAAAATCAAAACTAGACCGGATTAGATCGAAGAAACAATAGGGTCAAAGTAAACTTCGCATCTGATGTATTCTTACACTTAATTGGGCAGAGGGTTTATGGACGAAACGGTGATGCTGTCCACTCCAACGGAAGGTCTGGTCGGAGCTCAACGGTGGACGGGCCCCACAAGAAGCCGATCGAGGCGGCGGTCGGACGTGAGTAAATGCCGGAAACTACAATCCGGTACGGTTCGGCGCCCCTCCAGACGGACCAAAAGAACGGGGCATCCTCAAACATGTATCACACCCGGATACCTTGTTTCCCCCAGAAGAATTTCCGAAAAACAAATCGTTGCCTTATTGGTGAGGCTGAATGAGCTCAAATGGTTGATGCCGCGGAGTCTATGGAGCGCGACAAAGCTGTAGTTGACCTGACCAAGCATGTGTCAAAAGTCTATTTCAGCAGTATTTCTGCTAGCCATATGCGCTATTAGGCTAATATCAGCGCAAACTCTCCATCATGCCACATGGCCGCGTTTCTACAATGGAAAGGAGGTGAGTCTGTGAGTACAAGTACACTTCTTCCCCCAGAAGCTGAGCTGCCAGAAATCACACAAAGCTTGGCGGCGTCTTCATCGTCGATCCCAAAGTCCGCTTCCGAGATTCCGAGGTCGGCTCTTCACTGAGAACCCCGGGCCCGCACATTGTAAAAGCAGGGGCTTTCTGATCAACTGCGGGGAAACGTTTGTGGCAAATGTCAAGTATATGTTTGAAGGAACTCCGGTAAAATCGCAACCGAATCCGGCCGGCCCCTGCAATTATTCACCATAGCAGATGCACCTACAGGTGGCCAACTCGCGAAATGGAAAACACAGCAAAGACACCCGCATATGACTATAGGCGTTATGTTCCGCCAAAAGGAAAGTACTCATCAAGTAGAGCTTAGCTTCATCATCTTGTTCTTTGCAACAAGCGGCGTACAGCTAACAACGAACAGACTGGTCGCGATTTGAGGGGATAGACGTCAGTGATCCTCATAAGTACTCAGAGGCTATCCTGAAAAGTCCGCATCTAGAGGCTATCCGGGAAGACTGGAGAAAGAAACTCGATGCCCCATTCTACGGCGTCACAAACGATGGGAAAAGGAGAGAAGGCCTGTATCAAATTCGAGATGAAGGCGCGCCAACGAAACAGATGGTAAACACGAACGATCGGCTCCAGCTGACCCTACGTATTGCCAGCATGTGTTGACTCCAAACAGGTCGACGCGGCTCGTAGAGTGCTAGACTCACTCAGTCCGTCCGAAAAAGCAGATACAGTCTACGACGTGGATTCGGATACATGGTACGTCGCTTTTCCAGACAATAGGAACCAATAGGAACCAGATTTGACCACAGTATTGATGAGGTACCTTCGTCCGAGCAGCAGAAGATGGAGTAATCCAGAGTTTGTGTTGCATCAATGCGGTATACGCCTCGAGGACCTCGAGAAAACGAAAACAGAGGCCATCATAGGTCTCTTGGAGCAATCTCTAAGCCCTAGTGGTTTTGCCAAGGTCCGAGGAGCAATGAAAGTGAACAAGTTCTTGGGGGAAATTTGTGGAAAAGAAGCCATCTTGAACGAACACAGCTATTCGTGAGAACCCCGGTGCCCTCTTTCTATTCCATCTGACTAAAGATAATGCTTGCGTTCAGTTTCACGTTATTCGGTGAGCCCTCAGAAACAGAGCCCTGGGGTTACATGTTGTTTGGCCATCATCTATGCTTGAACGTTTTCATCGCTCGCCAGCAAATGGTGATAGGACCAGTCTTTATCGGCGCTGAGCCAAACGTGGGTTCTTCATCATCTGTTTAACCCAGGTCATTGATAAAGCTGACAATGCGGAAGATCATTGACGAAGGCCCCGACAAGGGTCTCACGCTGTGCGCCAACGAGGGCCAGCTGGGCCTACAGCTGATGCAGTCTTTACCTCCGGCGCTGCAACAGAAAGCTCAAATATACCCTACAATGAAAGATCCTG